CCCAAAACTGATGGCAGAACTACTAGCCAATCCATTGCAGAAAAGTGTGCAAGAAATTCAAAACTATATAGATGAAGCATACAGGAATCATACCAATTACGCACAGCGCCACAAACTGCCTACGGAAGTCCATATAAGATTTACGGAAAACAATTAGAGATGAGGTTTACAATAAGACAAGAGATGAACCATTAATCTATAAGGGGAAAAAAATGCTAACTTTGAAGCAAGTACCAAGAAGAGTAAGGGAACAAAGAAGGAACTATCACTTTCTATCTTCACAACTAGTTAAATACAAAGTAGTATTCAGATGGCTCATATCTGAGGGTATTTTAATTATGTGGCAAGACAAGAAACTCCAAATAGATACCTTGGACAAGGCACAAGAGTTCTACGACCACTATATAATTGGAGAAGAAGAACAAGATAGTAGAGAGGAATTAGAAAATAAAAGTCAAGATGATCAGGTATCAGAAGAGAAAATAACCAAACAAGACATAAGAGAAAGGATGGAAACAGAGTGTTATGAAAGGGAAGGAGCCAGGACAAGAACACAAAGGGAGACAAGATCAAAGAAAGGACCAAAATCTACTGACAAACAGTAAGATGGAGGAAGGAATTCAGATATTATCACTTAACATCAATGGCATGAATTCTCCGGCTAAACAAAAATAAACAATGTCAAAATTTCAAAGACAAAATATGGATATTTGTTTGCAGGAGGTCCATATTAAGAAAAAACACGGCAGTATTCTAGGATCCCCTAAATTAGGAAAACTTCATCTGGCACTGGCATCAAAAAAGAAAAGAGGAATAGCAGAATACATAAAAGAATGGTTAAACCCGAAACAAATTTATGCGGATGAAGATGAAAGAATTTTAGTAATAGAAATAACAACAACTCAAAAACGAATGCTCTTAACGGTAATATACGGACCAAACAGAAACCAGAAGAAATTTTATCACAAACTATATCAGAAAATAATAGAATTAGAATGGGATAATTTATCCGTAATAGGTGATTTCAACGTGGTAGTGGACAATAAGAGAGACTATATGAGCAAAAAAACAAGCAAGAAGTAAAGAAGACAATTACCAAACACATTCTCAGAAATGATACAAGAGCTAAACCTCCGAGACATATGGAGAGAATTAAATCCAAGGAAGAAACAATATACTTTTTTCTCTAATCCACACAACTCTTGGTCGAGAATTGATATGGCATGGATAAATGCGGAATTGGTTAGTGATATTAAAGACATAGAGATACTACCAAATACATGGGCTGATCACAATCCATTAACAATAGAATGGAAGGGACAAAGGAAAAAAGCGAGATGGACGTTAAATCAGAGGATACTAAAAGAGAAAACATTCATGCAAATGATGGAAAAAGAACTTGGATTTTTCTTTACAGAAAACTGGAAAGAACAAAACTACAAAATTTATGGGACACAACAAAAGTGCATATTCAAGGTTTAACAATAGCCTATATGGCAAGAAGAAATAAGGAAAAGAAAAAACAACAAAAGATGCTTCAGGAAAAAGTTAAAAGAATTGGAATGTGCATTGGAAAAAGAACCACAGAATAATAAAATCAAAGAAGAAAGAGTTTTAGTGAAACATAAACTTAATTTAGCATTACAAGAAGAAATGATACGCAACCTTAAAACAATAAAACAAAACTTTTTTGAATATGCAAACAAACCAGGGATATGGTTGTCAAATAAATTTAAGAAAGAAAGAACGAAAAAATTAATACAACAATTACAGGATGAGGACGGGAATCTCCATTACCAATCAGAGGGGGGAAAAAGTATTATTCAAAATTTCTTTAATAATTTATATAGTCAGGAGAATATTCCAGAAGAAAGCATTAAACAATATTTAGAAATGAGGGACCTACCGACAATACCGGAGGAAACTAGGAAAATGCTAAACAGTAAGATAACTCTAATGAAGATGAAGGAGGCGATCAAGAAACAAAAAAATAATAAAACACCAGGACCAGATGGGATTCCGGCAGAGATATACAAAAAATTTCAGGAGTCATTGGAGGGAATAATGCTAGAATTGTATAATGAAGTTTTAGAACGATCTAAATTACCAAATTCATGGACTGAGGCATTTATAACACTAATACCCAAAGAAGATACTGATACCAAACAGATTAAAAATTATAGACCAATTTCATTGTTAAATGCCGACTATAAAATATTTGCTATGATCATAGTGGAAAGATTTTAAAAAATATTGAATGAAATTATCCACCCTGACCAAAATGGGTTCCTCCCAAAAAGACAATTAAGAAATAACACAAGAATGGTCATGAACATATTAGAATATTATGACACTCATCCTGAAAAACAGATAGTGTTAATTTTTGTGGATGCACAAAAAGCTTTTGACAATCTAAATTGGAAGATCCTCATTACCCAATTAATTAGTATGAACTCTGGAGAAAAATGTGTAGGGATGATTAAGGCGATATATTCTGATCAAACTGTTAGGTCCCCATTTACTAAAATAATAGTAAATGGGGACCTAACAGAGAAAATTAATATAAAGGGGTTAGACAAGGATGTCCACTATCCCCCCTACTTTTTATCTTATCGTTAGAAGTGTTGCTAACACAAGTAGACAGAAACAGGAAATAAAAGGACTAAAAATTTAAAAAGAATATAAAACACAGGTGTTTGCAGATGACATGGTCTTTTTCATAGAAGAACTGTTAGAAACAGGAACTGGATTAATGCAGGAAATAGAGGATTTTGGTAAAGTAGCAGGACTAAGAATAAACAAAGAGAAAACAAAGATATTAACTAAAAATCTTACAGATAATCAAAACTAGAAATTGGAAGGGAAATTGGGAATTCAAATAGTAAAGAAAGTAAAATATCTTAGAATTTGGTTGACAGCGAAATGCTCTTTGATAAAAGAGGACAATTACACAAAATTGTTACAACAAATACAAAAGGATTTGGAAAATTGGGCGAAACTACAGTTATCATTAATTGGAAGAATTGCGACAATGAAGATGAATATTTTACCTAAAATCTTATTTTTATTTCAAACAGTACCAATAAAACCTGGGAATTTTTTTTTTGTAGAATTAAATAAAACAATCTTAAAATTGATTTGATTAGGGAAGAAAGCGCGAATGAAACTCTTACAAGATAGTAGAAGTAAGAGAGGTTTTGGACTCCCAGATTGGGAACTCTATCATCAAGCAGCAGTTGTAACATAGCTTAAGGAGTGGATAACTCTTAAAAATAAGAGAATACTAATAATAGAAGACCACAATCTACAGCTTGGCTGGCATGCATTCATCTGGGAGGGGAAAAATAAATCCCATATGTATTTTCAGAGACATGAGGTAAGAGATGCATTACTAGACGTCTGGGGGAAAATAAAGAGAAATCATTATACAAAAATCCCAAGGTGGTTATCAACCATGGAAGCCATGATATACCCCAACGTCTTAGATTGAAATAAGGTGGTGACATATAATGAGCTATTGGATGGACAAGGAATATTAAAATCTAATCAAGACTTAAAATCCCAAGGACTAGAAATAGATTGGTGGCCATATTTACAAATTCAAACAAGGTATAAAAAAGATTTACAAAACTATGGCTTCCTAAGAGAACAAGAAGAACTGGACAAAATATTATTAGGGACAGAGGAAAAAATGATAACTAAAACTTACAATTGTCTTTTAAAATTTAAAATGGAGCAGGAAACAGTAAAAGAGACTATGATAACCTGGGCCAAAAATTTCGGATATAATATTGATTTGGAACATTGGGAAAAAATACGGGAGAAAAACTATAAATTAATGATGTCTGCATCATATAAGAAAAACATCTATAAAATGTTTTATCGTTGGCATTTACCACCGGCAAGGCTGGCCAAAACGTACCCCAATAGATTGCCAAATTGTTGAACCATGAGCAAGGGACATTCTATCACGTGTGGTGGACTTGCCCGAAAGCCCAGAACTATTGGATGAAAATCAAAAAATGGTTAGAAGAAATTACAGAACAAAAAATTGAGATGAAGCCAGAGTTATTTTTATTGGGTATTATAAAAGGAAATATAAGCAAAAAGATTCAGTATATTATACTTCATATTATAACAGTAGCAAGAATTACATTTGCCCAGAATTGGATACAGGAAAACATGCCATCAAACGCAATAATAATAAAAAAGGTGCTCGATTGTGCAGAAATGGATAAATTAACTATGGAGTTAAAAGATAGAAAGGAAACAGAGTATTACGAAAGTTGGTATATGTGATATCACTGGCTAGAAACTAGATGTAAAATTAATGCATAAAGACTATATAGAAAGTATGTTAAATAGAAAATTGTATATATTTATGAATACGATAAAACATGTTAAAGGGTAAATGGAATATATATATATATATATATATATATATATATATATATATATATATATATATATATATATATATATATATATTACTAAATTGATGTTAAAGAAGAACAAATGTAGAGTATAGTAAAATATATTATGTATTTAAAGGTGTACATAATGTATAGAATAATAGGCCATAAATTGGAATTATGAAATTTAAATTGATACTGATAATTGAAAGCTGTAAAAATGGAAATGTGTTTTTAAAACTAAAAAAGGTTGAATAAAGACTATAAAAAAAACATTTTGGATTGACCAAGCACACTGTAGTTGTTCAATAATCAAATTAATCATCCAAAATACAACTTTCCTAATAATTGTGCACACAGTATATACATTTCTACTGAATTGATTAAAGGATAGTTACTGCCATAAACTACCAACAGACATAGTACTACCGGTAACATAAGGACTATGACAGAACTTACTATTTCAATAAATTACTAACTCACTTCTAAAAGATGTTAATTCATAATGTATATAATGTATATCCCTAAATGCTTGGTTCAGACATCCCAATAGCAGCAGCCACAGACGTGACAGTACAACACACATACCTGTAATTTTCAGAATACTCACAAACCAAAATCTCAGAAACATTATACTTCTGGAAATGAAGCCAAAGGTCAACCTGAAATAATCAAGAAGATAAATGTACCGGTACTTTCAGAATAGCATCAAGTGAAACAAACATTATATTGTAATCTTAACTTACTTCTGATACTGAAGGATTCAGACCATCAACATGGACAAAATAATTGTTTTTTAAGTCTTTTTTCCTCCCTTCTATTGTCTGTGTTTCTAAAAATATACAAAGCATATAATTCAGATATTTATTTACTCTTAAATGAAAACGAATGTCACATAGATAAACAGTGTTTTCAATGCAGGGAAAAGTATTCAGAAAAACAAATTCCTGTGAATTTTTTCCCCTGATAGTTCTTACTGATTTGAGAGGTACTGTCAGATCCCTAAAAGTGATACTGCCATTCAATTGGGAGGGGGGAGGGCTGGATTTGATTTATTAGCATTGCCTGTGTCAACAGATATTTTACAACCTACATCCTGGTGCCGAAGCACCCCAAGAATTCCTTACCTTTGGGGAATGTTTGTTTGTTTGTTTGTTTGTTTGTTTATTATATTTTATTATATTTAATATATTATATATTATTATTATATTAATGTTTATGACGGCCACATGGGTTGTTTCACTTTAAAGAATAATGGAGGATAGCAATGGGAAGGAATGCTTATCCGGTTCTCAGGGCAGCTGGTAAAGAAAACATCTTCACACTTGTATATTGGCTAAAATCCGTATTCTGGCTAATGGGAGGAGTCTCTACTGCTTTAATCCTACTTGTCTTGCCTGATGTTGCTTTGAATCCATTGCTGTCACTTCTGCTTAATAAAAGGTTCCTTTTGAAATACTCCGTTTCAAGAGTTTTCACTTTCTTAAGCTAGAGGGAGAGGCAGTTCTTACAGAAAGCAACGACTGAAAAATGATAAACCCAGAGAAGCAATCTTCGCTCTAATGAGGGGATCCTGCAAACCACGTCCAAATAAAACAGGGATCAGGGAGAAGCCAAATGTTGAGGGGAGACATCAACCATCACCCAGCCCGATGCCTGCTTCTTGCATCCCATCGGAGAGGACGAGGTAACCCTGGAGGATCCCGAAAAGCCCCACTGGTCAATTGGCATTGGGAAGAAAGACAGCTGGGATGGGAGAACCAGAGGAGTCACCCTCAGACGCGGTAATCGAAAACCGGGGTGGAAACTGGAGCTAGAAGCCCTCTCTGATCAGGGGGAACTAACTGAAGCACTGCTGAGAGGATCGGTTGAAGAGGCATATAACCAATTGGTGATGGAAACTTTGGAAAATCTCAACATCCGAGGGGAGCCAGAACGACAGCCAAGGAGCACTGAAAGGGCAGCAGCCGCAGATGATACCGGGGGGGGACCCCCCCTCTGGAGCCCGCCTATCAAGCAGATGGTGCAGCAGCAGCAGCAGAGGACCCAGCAAACCCTCCCCTGAGCAGCATGCGCACTGGCGCCCATTCCCAACCAGCCCTGAGCCCCACAACTGGAAAGAAAAACTCCCTCCCTTGGGGTGAAGTTTGATGGGGATCCACAACAATTAGGATTCTTTGCGGCACACGTGCTCACCTACATGCAAGAGAACGGGCATGATTTCCAAACCCATGGTGACTCTGCATAACGCCAACGCACCAGAACTGCGGGACTTCGACCGTTTCATGATGGGCCTGCGATGACATTTCGAGGACCCCCTCGCAGATCGCAAAGGACGTGACCACATTACGTTGGTGAAGCAGGGGCAACGGCCAGTGGCAGAGTATACTAAAGAATTCCTGGACCTCGTGTGTTGAGTGAACTGGCCAGAGGACATTTTGGTAAGCTGTTTCAAGGATGGGCTGAGTGATGATCTATACAATGCCTGTGTGGCCTGAAGCTCACCGAATCACCTACATGAGTGGTACCTCACCGCAGAAGAAGCCGAGATTGATATGGCAAAAAAACAGTACCGAGCGGGGTGAGTGTGGAAGAAATCCCCACCTCAATGGAAGCAAGAGCCCCTCAAACCACAAACTGCATTTTCTCTGAAATCCTCAGCCTGTTTCAAGTGTGGAAAGGAGGGACACCGAGCTGCAGAGTGTTGTTCTCAAACACCCACCCAGAAACCAGAACGCACACCGTGGGGGGAAACTTGTGAAACCTGGTCAGTGCGGGAAGGAGACTGCCCTGAGGAGCAGGGAGATCATAGTTTCCATTCCTTCCCCTTTGGAGAGGAAACTCCGGCATCACAGCAGGAGGAATCACACTCATTTGGAAGCAATCCAGAGGATGAACCACTGGTAAGCAAACCAATTAAACCGCTTACCCACCCCTTAAGACTATTTATCCCGAACCAGGACAGGGAGACAAATATCTCTGTGTTAGTGGACTCAGGGTGCACCCGCTGCTTGATCAACCCAACCCTAGTAGGGAAGTTGAGGATTAATGTTAAGAAAACTGAAAACCCCCATTGCTTTTTGCCAACTAGATCGGTCAATAGCAGAGGGGGGGCCAGAGTCTTTTGCCACCGAGCCTCTACAAATAGGCATCGGGAGCCACGAGGAAATACATTTATAGTGGCACCTGGCATGGAATGGCCATTAGTCTTGGGCCTTGCATGGCTGAAAAAATGGAACCCCAAAATTGGAAGCAAGGCATCATACAATTTCAGATGCATGTGACTTTTGCCGAGAATCCACATAAAGACACTGAGGGGCAGAGCACCGAGAAATAGCCATGCCTGGTCACACCATGCCAACTGAGGACATACCCATAGAATACAAAGATTTGGCTTAAGTTTTTAGCGAAAAAACCTCAGACGAGTTCCCCCCCCCACTGCGCAATAGAAATTTTACACAGCGCCAAATTCCCTAAATCCAAGATGTACAGCATATCCGTGAGGGAGCTGGAAGTTCTGCCCCAGCTACGGACCCCAAAGAACGCAGCACACACAAAGTCTGTACAAACCTTAGTTTATTAAATTAAATCAGTCTTTTTCAAACAAAGGCTGTTAATTAACTTTCTTAACAGCCTACAAGAATCCAAAGAATAAATAATCATAATCTTACTATGGTTGGCAGAAAGCCCAGAAGCAATTTGCAGGAAGATGATAAGAGAACTAAAATCAAGACGAAGGAACGTGAACGAAGTTGTTCCCTGTAAATTGCCTCAGTCATCGTCCTTCCTTAAATAGGCTAAGGGAGTGGTCAATTAGCCCCAAGCCTTACTCTCAAGGAGACCTTCTCCTGAAGAGCCATTCCTGCCTTTTGGCAGCTCTGCGCACCCGTGCATCGAGAAGAGGCTCCTCCTCTTCTTCTTCTTCACTTATAGGAGCTTCTAGAGGTTCTGAAGACCCTGGCTGAATCCCTGCCTCTGGCACCACATCTTCTCCAGCCTCCACATTGTCTGACTCGAGTGCCAGCTGCACAGGCTGCTCGCGCAGCACCACACCAGCCTCCTCGCTGTCGGAATCAGCTACTAGCTGCACAGGCCACTGACGGGCCACAACATTGGAAGAACTGAGAGCTTTTATTGAGAAAAACCTAGTAAGGGGTTTCATTGAGCCAACCCGACCAAAAATTGCAGCCTCAGTGTTATTTAGAGAAAAGAAAGCTAGCTCAAAACGTCTCTGTGTGGATTTTAGAAATTTAAATACAATCAGTGTGGAGAACATGTACCCCCTCCCCCTTATGAAAGATAAGCTAGCACACCTCATTAAAGGGAGAATTTTTTCAAAGCTGGATTTAGGGGAGGCTTACTACCGTGTCAGAATTAAGGAGGGGGACGAGTGGAAAACAGCATTTAATACCCCCCCCTTGGGTGCTACCAATTCAAAGTGCTCCCCTTTGGGTTACAAGGGGCCCCTGCAGTGTTTATGCAATTAATAAATGAAGTGCTACATGAGGGAATATAAGGGAATTCTGGTCTACTTGGACGACATTTTAATATATATCGAGACCAAAGCAGAACATGTAAAACTAGTCAGGGTGGTTTTAAACAAATTCCGTTCTGCCAAACTTTATGCTAAACTCTCTAAATGTGAATTCCACCACAAAAAAATTGACTATTTGGGGTACCGTATTTCACACCAGGGTATAGAAATGGACCCTCAAAAAGTGCAGGCTGTACTTGATTGGGAGTCACCCCGCACACGTAAACAGTTACAAAGCTTCCTGGGTTTTCCAAAATTTTACCGCCAGTTTATCCCCGCTTTTGCTCAGATTGCCCTCCCCATTACCAAGCTCTTAAAAACAAAGGGGGAGGGCAACTCTAAACCAAAGCAGCCTTTGAACTGGACTATGGAATGCCAAGCGGCATTTGAAAAACTTAAACGGCTGTTCTCGGCAGAACCAATTCTAAAACACCCGGACACATTCATCATACAAGCAGATGCCAGCGATGTGGCAATAGGAGCGATCCTGCTTCAGAAAAATGAGCAAGACCAATTACAACCATGTGCTTACACATTCAAAAAGTTGAATGAGACTGAGCAAAGGTGGACTATTTGGGAGAAAGAGACTTATGCAGTTCGTTGGGCACTTTTAACCTAGGGGCATTTCCTAGAAGAGAGTAAGATCCCTTTTGAAGTCTGGATTGATCACAAAAATTTAGAAGCCCTAAAGTCCCCAAGGAAACTCTCCCCAAAACAAGTATGATGGGCTCAGTACTTTAAATGATTTGATTTTACTCTCAAATACCTCCCCGGGAAAAAAATTTCTGGCAGATGCACTATCCAGAAAACCGCAATACGATAGTGCAAAATCAGACGTAATCATACCCATAGTACAAAACAATCAACTGGCCGCTAAAGTAATCACCATATCCCAGGCAAAACAAGAAACATTGAGGGACAGTGACACCACCCAAACATTTATACAAGCATTGGCCACCGATAAATAGTTTTTGAACCACAAATCCAGCTGTCTGATGAAAGATGATTTAGCTTGGGTGGGAGGGAAGTTGTATGTTCCAGCCAGCCAAAGAGTGCATTTAATGGCAAGGTGTTATGACACCACATTAGATTTTGTGAAAACTTTACACCTAATTAAAAGACAATTTTGATGGCCATCACTAAAAAAGGACATAGAAAGCTATGTAGCTAGCTGCCCCATTTGTGCAGCAGCAAAAAGACGTCAGGGGAAAACCCCAGGACTCTTACAGAAAGTAGCCGAACCTTCAGCGCCCTGGAGATTTTATTGTAGAACTGCCAGAAAGTGCAGGGAATACTGTCATTTGGGCAGTGACAGACCTGTTTTCAAAATAGGCACATTTTATACCTTGCCAAAAGATCCCAACTGCTAAAAGTTTAGCCAAATTATTCCTAATACACATTTATCGGTTTCATGGAGCTCCACAAAGAATAATCTCCAACAGAGGGGTTCAATTCACCTCCAAATTTTGGAGGGCATTTTTGAGCTTACTTGGCACCTCCCAGGGGTTGAGCTCATCGCATCACGTGTGTACTAATGGAAATTGTGAGAGGATGAACTCAGTGCTAGAACAATATTTAAGATGTTTTATTAATTGTCAACAGGATTACTGGACTGAACTTTTGCCTTTTGCTGAAGTTGCATTTAATAACTCTGTACACTCAAGTACTGGTTTTACCCAGTTTAGAGTAATAACAGGCCAGGATTTCAGACCATGCCTGAACTACCCACAGAAGAACCCACTATCCCCTCACTTAAGGAGTGGATGGATACTTTAGAAAACACATTGCCAATAGTTAATTAGCTTTAAAGCTTTAAAGCTAGAGAGGCTTTTTTTTTTTTTTGAACAAATTTTTTTTATTGTTTTTTAAAATTCAAACAAATCAAACAAATCACTTATCTATTTAAACATTTGTGCAACCCCCCCTTCCCTCCCCCCTCCCCCGACTTCCCAGAAGAAAAACAGGGTATAGATTTTACCAAACATACGCTAAAATATGCTAAGTTAATGCAAGACATTAAAACTCCCTAGACCCCTTAACTCCTCTTCTACAGATTATTCATCAACCTCCCTTTAAACACAAAATAACATATAATCCTTTAGCCCTAAGAATTTTTTTAAAAAACCAATAACAAACACTAGTAGATAATACATACTTAATCATTTGGCTATTCCTCCTGCTTTTGTGCTCAATATTCAAATATTTTTAACAATAACTAAACCTTAATTAATCATTAATTGAACTCTCAATTCATTTAGTTGCTAGAGAGGCTTTTAAAATTCAAGGCGACCCAAACACATGGTGCGTGCAACGTATGTGCAGTGCGCACCAAAAACATGCTTCGTGAGGAAAAAGAAGCTTTTTGAAGGTAAGCAGAACAGCGAGGGAGGGAACAGATGTGCCGCGCGATTTAGATTCGCTAGAAAGCGGGATTCAGACGAACCGGTAGCTTTTTTTTACTCCCAGTTCTCCCGAACCAGTAGCTTTTATTATTACCGGTTCACCCGAACTGGTTTGAACCAGTAGCATTTCACCCGTCCCAAACCTATAATACAACTTCACCTCCTCTTTTGTTAGGGTTAGGGTCTGTTTCTTTTGAATAGTTTGTATCCTTCTAGGTAGGACCAAAGAAATTGTGTTTTGTATTTTGGAGGGCTTTGGCAGAATTTAGGACATACAATTTTTCAATGTTTAAGGACCCAATTCCACTCTTCAAATCTTCTGAAATTGCAAATACCTATAACAATAATGATAGATGAGCCATGGTGGCGCAGTGGTTAAAGTGCAGTACTGCAGGCTACTTTTGCTGACTGCCGGCTGACTGCAATTTGGCAGTTCAAATCTCACCAGGCTCAAGGTTGACTCAGCCTTCCATCCTTCCAAGGTAGGTAAAATGAGAACCCAAATTTTGGGGGCAATATGCTGACTCTGTAAACAGTTTAGAGAAGGCTGTAAAGTACTGTAAAGCAGTACATAAGTCTAAGGTGCTATTGCTATATCCAAACATAAGAACAAATGAGAAAGGTTAATTGACAAAGATAACATGTAACTATTTATTTTACAAATTAATAATACTAATTGTCAGTTTGTATTGGTAACCCATACCATCAGTTGTGAAATGAAGTTTTAAAATAATATTAACACAACAAAACTGAACATTTTGGAAAATTAACACTACAAATGAAGTAAACAATGTTAACTTTTATACATTTTCTTATTCTTGTTTTGAACGCTGTTTGAGCACATTTATATGAAAAAAATGATTTATATAATGAAATGAGAAATTAACCTCATGTCAGGCTTGTCCCAACCTGGTCCCTTAAGAAAGAATGATCCTCGATTACATTTGTAGTGAAAGGTATACTTTTACTAAAAGCCACGTGGATTACAGCATAGCAAAGCCAGAACTAAAGATTTGTGTGCCAAATTTTCTCAGTTAACGTTCTCTATCCTGCCCCTTGATAGTCCCTTATTGTCCAATTATATTTGAATAGATTATTTTGGTAACTGTTACTTCAACAGCGGGCTGGATGGTTAGCCATTGCATTCCATTCCCATAGTTTTGACCTTGAGACAGTGTTTCTGCAAGGCATAATGAGTAGTTACTTCCCCCCCCTCTCATTCAGCTCTCTCCTCCCATGTCCATGGCTGACTGGCGGATAGCAAATGCAAAGCTTAGTGTATGATGGCAGTTTTTACACCTAAAGAAATATAAATCGAGAATGGTGCAGTAAGCTAACAAATAAAAAAGAAACAATGAATGGATAGATTTTGTACTTACTTTTACTTTCCTTTTTAGTTCCTCTTATAGGAGAATACAATATTTCTCAATGTATAAATTAATATACACTTTTTCCCTTGAGGGAAGACATAGGCATTAACTCTAGAATAAAATCTTTAGAAATACTTATTACAGGGACAGATCTACACACAGGACTGCCCAAAGACTATACTTCCAGGAAAAAAGCAATCCAAAGTTGCAGCATTATCTGCATTATTCAAACTAATGCAAAATCAGTACTGACCTGTTGGAGACCTCTCTAGAGGGTTGGCACACAAAACTGATGACTCAAGTGTTGTTGGGTTCTCTGTAGCATCAAACCACTCTTCACTGATTTCTTCACCTTACAATAATAATTAAAAATAAACAATTGAGTATACTCTCAGAGATTGCAAAGCATACCAGAATAGATTGCAAAGAAATCTGTTATTTTTATTGCTCCCATGCAACCTCTTTCTGGGTGTTGATCCTAACTAAATAGGTGAGGAATTGGTAAGAGAACACCTAGCTTATCTGAATGAGTTCAAGTATCCTGAAATAGAACAGAACATTATTTATTTATTTATTATTTATTTTATTAAATTCTTATACCGCCCTTCTCCTGCTGGACTCAGGGCGGTGAACAGCCAAGAATAAAAAACATCCAATACAAAATTTAAAATTATTAAAAGAATTAAACAATTTTTGGCCCAGATTTAAAACATCCCAACTAAAATCCGTTACAATTAAAATATCTAAGGGGGGGGGGTGTTACACCAGCCCAGCTTGGTGAAATAGAAAAGTTTTGAGGGCACGGCGAAAAGCACGGAGATCTGGTATCCTACATATCTCCGGGGGCAAGTCGTTCCAGAGGGCAGGTGCTGCCACAGAGAAGGCCCTCCCTCTGGGGGTCGCCAGCCGACATTGCCTGGCTGACGGCACCCTGAGGAGTCCCTCTCTGTGGGAGCGAACTGGCCGGTGGGAGGCTATCGGTGGCAGAAGGCAGTCCTGTAAGTACCCAGGCCCTGTGCCACGGAGCACTTTAAAGGTGGTAACCAACACCTTGAAGCGCACCCGGACGACCACCGGGAACCAATGCAGCTCGCGCAGGAGGAGTGTCACATGGGAGCGGCCCATCGCTCCCATAATCCCCCACATGGCCGCATTCTGCACCAGTTGGAGTCTCCGGGTGCTCCTCAAGGGGAGCCCCATGTAGAGAGCATTGCAGTAGTCCAGGCGGGAAGTGACGAGAGCCTGAGTGACTGTGCGTAAGGAGTCCCAATCCAGAAAAGGATGCAACTGGCGAATCAGGTGAACCTGATGAAAAGCCTCCCTGGCCACGGCCGTCATATGCTCTTCTAAAGACAGCCGTGCATCCAGAAGGACGCCCAAGTTGTGAGCCCTCTCCGAGGGGGCCAGTAACTCACCCCCAATAGCCAGCGATGGCACCATCTGGCCATATCGGGACGCCGGAAGCCACAGCCACTCAGTCTTGGAAGGGTTGAGTCGAAGCCTGTTTCTCCCCATCCAGACCCGCACGGCCTCCAGGCACCGGGACATCACTTCAAGGGCATCGTTGGGATGGCCTGGGGTGGAGATGTACAGCTGAGTATCATCAGCGTACTGATGGAACTCCACCCCAAAACCACGGATGATCTCACCCAGCAGCTTCACATAAATGTAAAACAGAAGGGGTGAGAGGACCGACCCCTGCGGCACCCCACATATAAGGCTCCTCGGGGTCGACCTCTGCCCCTCTGCCAACACCGACTGCGACTGGTCAGAGAGATAGGAGGAGAACCACCGTAGGATGGTGCCCCCCACCCCAACCCCTCTAACCGGCGCATGATACCATGGTCGATGGTATCAAAAGCCGCTGAGAGATCTAACAGGACTAGGATAGAGGAACAACCCCTATCCCGAGCCCTCCAGAGATCATCCACCAACACGACCAATGCCGTTTCCGTGCTGTGCCCAGGCCTGAAGCCGGACTGGAGCGGATCTAGATAGACAGCTTCCTCCAGGTACCGAGGAAGCTGTCGCGCCACCACACTCTCAACAATCTTCACCACAAAGCGAAGATTGGAGACCGGACGATAGTTAGCCAAAACAGCTGGATCCAGAGAGGGCTTCTTTTTTTTTTTTTTTTTAATTGAAAAGTTTTACAAAAAGTTTACATATTTCCCCCCCCCTTCCCTACCTCAACCTCCCCCCTCCCCCCTCCCCTTCCCAGAACAAATTACAGGGTATAAACTTCAACAATCATAATCAATCCTAGTCTAAACAATTATGACATTCCACATCTCTTGTTTCTTCAATTCCCTAATTACCCGCCTAGCTTTATTACTTAAAGACACACTAAATATCTATATAATCATTCATAACCTATCTGCAATTTCTTATTCCGATATTTATTTTGAATATAATCTATCCATCTTCTCCAGTCTCTTAAATATCTTTCATTTGAATGATCCTTCAGGTACGCCGAGATTTTTGCCATTTCCGCTAGATTTGTAACTTTCATTGTCCACTCTTGGATTGTAGGTAAATCTTGCTTCTTCCAATATTGTGCCACCAACAGTCTTGCTGCAGTTATTAAATTCAAAATCAATTTGGTCTCTATAACTGTACAATCCGTAGCTATACCCAAAAGAAACAGCTGTGGTGTAAATTTCAACCTCTTTTTAAGAATATTTTGTAAAATCCACCAGATTTTAATCCAAAACGCTTTAACCTTTTTACATGTCCACCAAATGTGAAAATAAGTAGCATCCTCACAATTACATCTCCAACATTTTGGTTGTACATTCGGATACATACGAGATAACTTTTTTGGATCTAGATGCCATCTATAAAACATTTTATAGAAGTTCTCCCTTAAATTTTGCGCTTTGGTAAATTTCACATTTGTTACCCATATTTTCTCCCACGTTTCCATCATTATTGGCTGTTCAAAATTCTGCGCCCATTTTATCATACAGTCCTTAACTAGCTCTGTTTCCGAGTCCATCTCTATCAATATATTATACAATCTTTTTATATGCATTGGGCTTTGATCTCTAATTTGTTTAATTAAATTTTCATCACTTTGTATAACACCAGTTTTCTGGTCTTTTCTCCATCTGGCTTGTAATTGTACATATTGAAACCATGTTTGAATTATTTTCTCCTCTTTCAACACATTCACAGATTTTAATTTTAATATACCTCCCTCCATAATGAGAATATTTTTATACGTAATTACATCCTGTCTACATTCTATACTCGTATTCTCTATTGTGTGCCTGGGTGCTGTCCATATAGGTATTTTTTCATTTAACTTATATTGATATTTCTTCCAGACACGCAATAAAGCATTTCTCAGTATATGACTCTTAAATGCTCTATCCACCCTTTTTTCATACACTAAATAAGCATGCCAACCATAAACCAGATCATACCCTTCAATATTCAATATCCTTCCATTTGTTAAATTAATCCAATCACTAATTGCTGATAGAACAGCTGCTTCATAGTACAATTTTAAATTTGGCATTTTCAATCCTCCTCTTTCTCGTATGTCCTGCATTATTTTCAATTTTATCCTTGGTTTCTTACCTTGCCATACGAACTTATTAATACCTTTCTGCCACTCTTCCAGGTTGGCATCCTTTTTTAGTATTGGTATCATTTGAAAGAGGAACAAAAACCTAGGCAACACATTCATTTTTATAACTGCTATTCTACCCAACAAGGACAATTGTAGTTTTTTCCATTTATCCATTTCAACTTGTATTTTATGCCATATCAATTCATAATTATACTTATATAATTTACCATTAGAAGATGCAATATAAGCTCCTAAATACTTGACTTTTTTAACTATTTCACATCCCGTTACCCTTTGTAACTCCTCTTTTTGATTAGCTATCATATTTTTAACTATCATCTTTGTTTTTCCAATGTTTATCTTAAACCCAGATACTTGACCATACTGTTTTATTATATCAATCAAAACCTTTGCTGATTCCACTGGATGAGTTAAGGTCATAACCAAATCATCTGCAAATGCCCGTATCTTATATTCATAATCTCTAACTTTGATTCCCTTTATCCCATCTGCATTACGTATTTTATTTAACAGCAACTCCAAAGTTAATATAAATAATAATGGCGATAAGGGACATCCCTGCCTCGTGCCTTTTTCAATTTTAAAAGTTTCTGTTAAACTGCCATTAATAATTATCTGAGCTGTCTGTTCCTGATATATTGCTTTTATGGACTGCATAAAGCAATTCCCAAATTGCATCCTATTGACCACTCTCAATAAAAATTGCCAATCTAATCGATCAAAAGCTTTTTCCGCATCCAGAAATATAAGCACCGCAGGGATTTGGTTATTCCTTTCCAAATGTTCCAATATGTCAACAATTTGTCTTACATTATTTTTCATTTGTCTACCTTGTATAAAACCAGTTTGGTCAGCATGAATCGTCTTCTGCATTACTAGCATTAACCTATTTGCCAATATTTTAGCAAATATTTTATAATCTGTATTCAATAAGGATATAGGTCTATAATTTTTGGGTTGTGTCAAATCTTGATCTTCTTTTGGAATTAACGAAATAAAAGCTGTTTTCCATGAAGGTGGTACCCCTTCACCCAGCTGAATTCTATTGAATAATTCTTTAAGAGGTAAAACCATCTCCAATTGTAAATATTTATAGTACACAGCTGTTAATCCATCCGTACCAGGAGCCTTACCAGTTTTTAACTGTTTAATTGTTGAGAGGATCTCCTCCTCTGTTATTAATTGGTTTAACCGTTCTCTTTGTTCCTCTGTAACTATTGGAATATTCTGTCTATCCAGGTATGTCTCTACCTCTGCACCTTGTATTTTGTCTGCAGTATACAATCTTGCATAAAATTCTAAAAATGCCTTTTTAATCATATTTTGATGATACAGCTCTTTACCTTTATACTCTATTTTCTCTATGGTACGAGATTTTTGTTTTTTCCTCAGCATGTATGCCAACCATCTACCTGGTTTATTTGCATTACAAAAAGTATTATGTTTAGCATATTGTAGATTGGTTGCCACTTGGTCTGAAAGCATCATATTAAATTGCCCACGTAATAAACTGATCTCTTCTTTAATTTTCTTATCCCCTGGGTTATCAATTAACACCCTTTCTTTTTTCTTAATCTCTTCTTCTAATTCCCTCCTTTTCTCCACTTGTTTACGCCTATAAGCATTATTCATATTTATCAGAACTCCTCTCATATATGCTTTACTAGCATCCCATACCATATCCATAGATGTTCCCTTGTTCATATTAAAAACAAAAAATTCCTTCATTAGTTTTTTACATTCTATTACATTTT